TTTGATCCCCGGCACCAAAAAAAAAAAAAAAAAATAGACAATGAAGACAACAACTCAATGAATCCCAATAGAATGAATCCACGAGGCAAGGCAGCAATTAAACATATGGGAAAGAAAGGGAACCAACCAAAGGAAAATAGTATTATAAGGATAAGTCAATACATACCAATTATAACAATGTGAATGGTCTCGATTCATCAATCAAAAGAAACATTTGCGTTGGTGGTATAGTGGTGAGCATAGCTGCCTTCCAAAAGAAACATTTGCAGAATGGATGAAGAAACAAGATCCAACAATATGCTACATATACATTTACATATACATTTAACTCAAAAACAAATCCATAGGCTGAAAGTCAAAGGATGGAAGACAATACTCTGTGGGATAGGACATGGAAAAAAGCAGGGGTAGCTATTCTATCTGCAGACATAACGGATTTCAAGCCAAGACTGATTAGAAGAGACAAAGAGGTCACTACATACTTGTTAAGGCAACAATCCAAAAGGAAGAGATGACAATTACAAAAATGCATCAAATAACAGTACTGAACTATATAAAACAAACATTAATGGACTTGAAAAATCAAATAAAAACTAATACAATTGCAATGGATGACACCTCAGTACCCCACTGTCACAAATCAAATCAACTAGACAAAAAATAAAAAAGAAGTATCAGAGCTAAACCAAACTTTTAAATAAACGAACTTAGTAATTATCTGCAGAATGTTCTACCCAACAACAGAATACACATTCTCCTCAACTGTACATGGGACATTCTCCAAAACAGACCACATACTAGCCAATAGAACATACTTAAGGAAACACAAAGGAAATGAAATTATCCCATGCATATTATCAAGTCATAGTGCAATAAAATCGGAAATCAATGGCAAAAGAAACCACAAAAACTGCATAAACACATGGAAGTTAAATAACACCCTCCTGAACAACCAATGGATCACAACTGAAATTAAAGAAGAAATTAGTCACTACAACTAAATCATAACGCCAATACAACATAAGGGAACTTATGGGATGCAATGAAAGCAGTCCTTTGAGGGAAACATATACTGGTGAATTCTCACATCAGAAAAACAGAATAACATAATATTGAATCTCAAGCAAAAGAAGAGCAAACTAAACCCAAAATGCATATGAGAGAGGAAATTATAAAGATCAGAGGAGAAATTAATGAACTTGAGGCTAAGAAAACAACACAAAAAATAGAGTTGGTTCTTTGAAATTAAATGAAATGGAAAAATCCTTACCCAACCTTATCAAAAAAAGGAAAGAAAAGACTCAAAATTCAATTAGGAATGAAAAGGGTAAAATCACAATATATCCTGAAGAAATTCAGATTATCAATACTTACTTCAAAACCCTGTACTCTAGTAAGGTAAGGAACAAGATGGAAAACACATCTAATAAGATGGAAAAATGCAGAAGAAATGAATAGATTCCTTGAAATACATGGATCACCAAAGCTCAACCAAGAAGATATAAAAATTCTAAACAACCCAGTATCAGTCAATGAAACTGAAGTAATTACAAAGCTACCAAGAAAGAAATGCCCAGCACCAGATGGATTCACTGCCAAATTCTACAAGAAATTTAGGGAAGATCTAATACCACTACTCCTCAAACTCTTCAGAGAAATTGAAAAGTGAACCAATAGTCCCAAATTCATTCCTAAAAGCAAGCTAATACCTAATACCCTAATACCAAAACCAGAGAAAGGTCCAACCAAAAAAAGAGAACTATGGTCCAATCTCCCTAATAAACAAACACAGATGCAAAAATCCTCAAGAAGATACTGGCAAACAGAATGCAGCAAATCATCCAGAGACTGTACACCATGACCAAGTAGGATTCACCTAGGCACGCAGGATATGTTTAACATATACAAATCAATACATATAAGCTGGGGATTTAGCTCAGTGGTTTTGCCACCTGCCTGGCAAGTGCAACGGCTGGAGTTTGATCCCCAGTACAAAAAACAAAAAAACAAAAAAACATGCAATACACCACATTAACAGAACCAAGGACAAAAACCACATCATCAACTCAATAGATGGAGAAAGAAGCATCTGACAAAGTCCAACATTCATAATAAAAACCCTTCAGAAAATTGAAATAGAGGATCTTTATTTCAATCTGATAAAAGCTGTCTATGACAAAGCAACAACCAATATCATAGTAAATGGACAAAAACTGAAAGCTTTCACACTACAATCAGGAACAAGATAAGGATGTCCAATGGCACCATTATAGTTGTGGAAACATTAGCCAAAGCAATTAGGAGAAATAAAAAGAATGGCGGCAGGAAAGGAAGAATTTAAACTATCATTATTTATGCAGAAGAAATGAATGGATATGATGCTCTACATAGAAGACCCCAAAAATGCCACAGAAAGACTCCAAGATTTAATAACCAAATTCAGTAGCATAACAGAATAGAAAGTCTACACTCAAAAATGAATAGCCTTCCTCTACACAAATAACAAACTCACTGAGAGAGAAATCAGGGAAACAACACCTTTCAGAATAGCATCAAGAAAAATGAATTACTTAGGAATCAATCTAACAAAAAGGAGGTAGAAGACCTTTACATTGAAAATTACAGTTCTCTGAAAAAGAAGACTGAAGAGAATATCATAAAGATATCTCTTGTTCTTGGGTAGGAAGAATCAATATAGTGAAAATGACAATACTTCCAAACTGTTATATAGCTTTGATGCAATCCCGATCAAAATACCAATATCAAACCTCGCAGAGCTAGAGAAAACAATCCTAAAAATCATCTGGAACCAGAAGAGACCTAGAATAGTGAAAGCAATTCTAGGCAACAAAGATAAGGCACCATAATCTCTAACTTGAAATTATACTACGAAGCTATTGATAAAAGCAGCACAGTACTGGCAAAAAAACCCAAACAAACAAAGAAAAAAACAAAACAAAAAGCACCCAGACCTGTGGATCAATGGAACAGATTAGAAGATGCAGAAACATCTCCATATGCATTTAGCAACCTTATCTTTTGACAAAGGAGCTAAACACCTTTTCAGTGGAAGAAAGATAGGCTCTTTAATAAATGGTGTTTGAAAAACTGGCTTTCTACATGCAAAAGATTAAACCTAGACCCATACCTCTCACCATGTGCTAAAGCTACATCGAATGGATCAAAGACCTAAATATTAAAACAGAAACAATCTGCTGGGAGAGAGAATAAGCAAAACTCTTGAAAACATAGGTGTCAGCAAAGACTTTATGAACAAAATCCTGATTCACAGGAACCATGATAAAGAATCAACAATTCGGAACTCATTGTATTAAAAAGCTTTACACGATAAGAGAAACCACTGACAGGATGGAGAGACACCCAGAGAATGGGAAATAATTTTGCCAGCTATTGCTCAAAGGAATAATAGCTGCAATATACAAAGAACTCAAAAAAATCAGACCCCCTAAATTTTAAGACCCAATCCAAAAACAGGAATCTGAAATGAATGGACACTTCTCAGATGAAGAAATACAAATGGCAAATAAATATATGAAAAAAATGCTCAACATCACATTGAACATTTGAGAATACAAATTAAAACAACACAGATTCCATTTCACTCTAGAAAGAAAGGCTATCAGCAAGAATCAATCAATGACAAATGTTGGTGGGGCTTGGGGAAAAAGCAACCCTTCTCCACTGTTGGTAGGAGTGTAAAGTGGTACAACCACTGTGGAAATCAGTGTGGAGATTCCTCAAAAAGCTGAAACTAGGGGTTCCACTTGAATCATTCTAGGTACTTTCCTGAAAGAGTTAAAGCATCATGCCACAGCAGAATTCACACACCCATGTTCATAGCAGCATAATTTGTAATAGCTAGATCTTGGATGGTGCATGCCTGTAATTGCAGCACTCAGGAGGCTGTGGCAAGAGGGTCACTGTGAGTTCAAGGACAGCCTGGCCTACATAGTGAGTTCAAGGCTAGCCTGAATTACATAGTGAGATCCTGTTTCCAAAAAAAATACCAATAGGGGCTGGAGATTTAGCTCAGTGGTGCTGCTGCCTGCCTCACAAGAGCAAGGTCCTGAGTTTAATCCCTGGTAAAAAAATAAAAAAAAATAAATAAACAGAAATCTTGAAAACAGCCCAGATGCCTATCATTGGATGAATGGATAAAGTGTGATTTTTTAAATACACAATGGAGTGCTACTCTGCCACAAAAAGGATAGACGAGATATTTTTAGGTAAATGGATGCCCCTTGAGACCATACTTTTAAATGAAATAAATCATACACACACATGTTTAATTATCTATTTGTTTCCCTGGTTTAAGAAACTAAAAGTGCAAACAAGGACCAAAATAGGTGACAGATATTGGGAAGCAGGAAGGAAATATTCAAATATAAAAGGGGACAAGGAACGGGGGAGAAGAAAGGGAAGGAAGGGAAAAGGAAAAAAAAGAGAAAAGAAGCAAAAATGGAAACAGATTTTTGTAAAGAAGGAGAAGGGCTGAAGGGAGAGGAATAAGGAAAAAAAGAAAAATCAAGATATATTATGTACAGGTTCTATTCCCTAGGATGAATGTGATCTTCCTGTATATCAAAAGTATATCAATAAAATTAATTTTAAGAATTAAAAAAGAGGTGCCAGGGATATAGCTCAGTGTGCCACACCTGCCTGCCTGGTAAGTACAAAGTCCTGAGTTTGATCTCTGGTCCAGGAAAAAAATAAAATATAATTTTTAAAAATATACATTTTTTTTTTTTTGGTACAGGGAATGGAATTTGGGTCCTTGCACTTGCAAGGCACGCAGCAGTACCACTGAGCTAAATCCCTGGCAAAATAAAAATTTTTAAGTACAAAAAACTCCAAAACATAATATTAGCCCATAACCCTCATAGCACAGGGAAACGTGACTGTCTGTTACACAGAATTTAACAAAACAGCTTATTTCTACTGGCATGGAACGGGCCTGCGGCTCCTCCTCACCTGCCCACCTGTTAAAGCGCTGCTTCATCTGTTTACACGCATAGAAGCCCCCATCTCGCAGGCTCTGTATCTTCAGGACTTCAGAAAACGTCCCCTCTCCTATCTTGCTGATTGCTTTATAGTCTAGAAGGAAGCAGTTACAAGATCAGCTTTCTTTGTGTGCCTGTAGGAGCGGAAGCAGGCACAGCCCACACCATCCATCGCTGGCTTCCGCCTGGGTAGGCCCTGCGGTATCTGAAACTCGCCCGGTACTGTGGCACTTCCATGCAAACCTCCATTGTCCAGTGGCTGCCCAGCTTTGCTGCTCCGGTGTGACCCATCTATGAAGGTTTTGTAAGCCTAACTCACATGCTCTCGCTTAAAATGTCTAGAGAAGGTTCTAGTCTCCTGCCACACCCCAACACCAATAAGTACCTTGTAGCTAATGCTGCGAATAAAACCCTAAAGTTCTTTTTTAAGATAGGGTCTCACTATGGAGCCCACACCGGCCTCGGACTCTGGGCAATCCTCCTGCCTTGGCCTCCTGAGTGCTGGGATTGCAGTGTGCACCAACACGCCTGGCTGAACCCTACACTTCTGCAGTGCTGAGGAAGCAGTAAGGTGGCAGGGGACAGGCAGGAGGCTGCTGCAGACAGAGGGTCACAACCCACGAGTGGGCCTGACCCGGCCCCACGGCTGCCTTCCCAGGGATTGTGGCACTGGCCAGAACTGCCACTTCTCAAGCCAACATGGAAGTGGTAGGAAAAGTCCTGAGACTAAAGTTGCTCCGGGTTGGAGCAGTTCCTGCAGCTCAGACAGCCGGGGAACAGAACAGTGAGAACCAGGGACGAGGGCATCCTGCTCCCTGGGACAAACAGCCTGGACTCAGGGTTGTGAGCAACATGAGTTGCCTGGGTTCTGCTCCTGGTGCTGCAAAAACCAAAACCCAAAACCATGATACCAGGCTGAGCAAAGATCTCAAGAGGCAGCCGAGAGTGTGACAGCAGCTCAAGTGAAGTGAAACAGAGCCGCCCAGGGCCAAACCATGAAGAAGGCAGGCAGGCTAGGCAGCAACTGGGGAGGAACTGACCAGAAGCTGCAGTTGGAACCCGAGTGACAGGGGCAGTCCAGAGCCAGGTGCCCTCACCTGCAGTCCTGGCCACATAGCGATACAGTGGGTGTCACAGTTTAGATCCAGATGTGCCAGGAGCCAGCTTTGGGGAGCAGACTGTGGTGTGGGAGGTGCCCAGCCTGGAAGCTTTGTCCTGCTCCCAGCTCCTCGCTTCATTCTCTGCTCTCCACCCTGCTGTGAGCTGCTCTGCCAGTGCCCCACACCATGTGTCCTGCCATGGCGCCAGCCAACTGTGTCCTCCCTTAAACTGAGGGTGTCAAGTACAGTATTTGGTCCCAGCAGCCAGAAAGTGACCAGCCAGCAGGCTGTGTACAGCTCAGCCCTGAAGGGGGGCATCCTTACACCCATTCACAGACAAGCACGTTCTGAACACCTTGTCCAAATTCTCATTTAAACAAATCAAAGATACAGAGATACTACTTTATTTTGAAGTGTTAATGGTTATGTTTAAAAAGAAAAAAGTCCAAAGCAAGGTATATACCTATAATTTCAAGCTATTCAGTATATGTGCTGCTGAAGCGAGCACAATTTCAAGCTATTCAGAAGGCTGGGAAGCTGATGAAGGAAGACTGCCCGAGACCAGGAGTTGAAGGCCAGCCTCGGCAACAAAGCAAGACCCTGTCTCAAATGCAAAAGAAGGAAAAAGAAAGAAAAAGAAGAATTATTATCTGTTAGCAAGACATACAGAGGTAGCCAGGGGTGGTGACACACACCTATAATGCCAGTACTTGGAGGCCAAGGCAAAAGGCTCACTGTGAAATAGAGGCCAGCCTGGGCTACAGAGTGAATTCAAGGCCAGCCTGAACTATGTAGCCAGACCCTGCCTCAAAAGGGCTGGGGCATACAGAGGAATTTCCAGGTGGAATGAAATGCTATGGCATTTGGGACTTACACGAAGCCCTCTGCTATGTCCTCGTTCACTGTTACTGAGGTATAAGCTGACACAGCCGCCTTTCAGAGCACAGCAGCTATAAATGCACTCTGCCTTGGCAATTCCAATTCTAGAACTTACGCAAAAAATATTTTTTCAGTTTACATCTGTTATTGCAGCATTTAAAAATTTTAATTTTAAAAACTTATTCTAATAATAAATACGAAAATGCAAAAAAAAAAAAACCCAATATTTTAGTACATTACTTAACAGGGAAAAACTGATATCCCAAATGCCCACCAGCAGGGAAATGGATTCATTAAATATGGTTTATCCATCAAGTATCATTTATTAATATAATTGAATACATTATACATTTAAAAAATATGACACAAATCGACTTGTCCTAATGTTCAGATTACCAATACAAACACACGCACATATGCACACAGGCACACACAGAGCAGTGGCTCTAACAGGGAAGGTTACAGGCCTCTTATTTTCTTTTTTTTTATAGCAAAACATTTATTAGAAAATAAAATTTAAAAAAAGAAAAAGCAAATACAGATAAATTTAGAGACACAGACCCCAGTAAATATTTAATTTGAAGAAAAATAATGTAATTCTGATAATGTGTATAAAATATAGTCTTATTTTTATGGAAAATTCAGGCAACTGGGAACAGGAATAAGTAATTCTTGAAATAGAAAAAGATTTATTTTAAAAACTATACCTGTAAGACACACACACACAAATCTTAACAAGGGAGGGGGGAGGGAGAAAGAACAAAGGGACAAGAAAAAAAGTGAAAATAGAAGGAAAAGAGCCAGGGATTTAGCTCAGTGGTTCCTCTGCCTGCCTTGCAAGCACAAGGACCTGAGTTTGAACCCCAGTACCAAAAAAAAAAAGAAAATAGAAGGAAAAAAATGGAAGCAAAAGCAAAGCTTTTGTACATAGGAAGGGGAGGGGGCTTGAGGGAGGAATGGGATAAAATAAATTTTTTTTTATTTTTTTGGTACTGGGGATCAAACTCAGGACCTTGTGCTTGTGAGGCAGGCAGCAGCACCACTGAGCTAAATCCCCAGCCCAAAATTTATTTTTAAAAAAAACATTTAATGGGGGTCCCGACCCAGCCACCATCGCTCAAGAGCTGGGAGGTAGCCTGGGCCCCGATCCACCAAGGGAAGGAGAGCCACGCCTGCTCCCGACCCAGCTGCCATCGCTCAAGCGCCAGGAAGGTAGCGCGCCCCTGAACCCCCATAAGCCCCCCGCCCACACTCTCAGACCTACAGACTGTGCCAGTCTTTGGACCCACTCTGCAGAGGCAGAGGTGGTCATCAAGGGTATTTTTCTGAGTTCCCAACTTTGAACATCTTTAAAGAAAGGGCATGGGAAACCTGTAATAGAATGTTGTGGAGTTCAACCATTCAGAAGGTTGGGGAACTCAATCTGGGCCTTGCAGCCCGAGGTTAGTCAGTGTCATGGGGTTCAGCCATCAGCTAACTGAGACCAGGGGACTTGCATCCTTTCTCTGTCTGAGCCATTAAATGGTAAATACACTATATTGAAATTTTGTTCACTGCAGACATGTTCTGGACTGCTTCTTGATTTAAATTTAATTCAAATGATTTAAGGGTGATAGATTAGTGACTACCACAGGTGGTCAGTGTCCAAGTTGTGCTTGCTCTTAATGTGTTGCTGATTGTATCAGTTGGGATAAAGCATTGTGGTTGATTTGATGAGCTGTTTCTTTGATGTAATGAAGATGAGAATGTTTGTGGGTCGTTAGAGACAGAGAAGCTAGGGCGCAACTATATCAGGAAGATTTGGGTGATAATCCAGAGATTAAACCAAGGACAGTCCAACAACAAAAATAAAAATGAGAAAACACTTAAGCAAGACACAAGGACAGACTTCCAGTTCACCAATGGCAAACAGTAGGGCAAATGAGGATGAAAAGACCGATAGTGAACCACCAGGACACCCTGAACTCAAAGCACAGGAAGTAACAAAACAGATCAATCAGGCTCTAGAAAAATTCAAAACACAAATAATTTCCCAGATAACCACAGAGATAGTGAGCAAAATGGAAGTCATGATTCGAGATTCTAGAGCAGAAACTGACAAAAAAATAGATGAGCTCAGGACCATGATAGAAGACATGAAGGCCCAGCATAAGAAAGAAATGGAAAAAATAAATGCCCAACATAGGAAAGAAACAGAATCCATAAAACAGATTAAAAAAGATATCCAGGAGATTAAACACTCCATAGAAAGTGTACTTGACAGAATAAAAGAATGCGAAGATAGACTCTCAGATATAGAAAAGATTGCAGTCAGTGACCATGAAAAGAGAGGTCACTTAAAAACAGTAAGGGATCATGAGAAATCGATCCAACAACTCCTAGATGATGCAAAGAAGAATAACATAAGACTAATAGGAATACATGAAGTAGCAGGAGAAAATACAAAGGACTTTAAAAAGCTGTTCGCAGAATTAATGACAGAAAACTTCCTAAACAGAGGGGAAGAATTTGACATTCAGATAACTGAGGCATATAGGACTCCAACTAGCTACAATCAAAAAAAATCTACACCTAGACATATAATAATCAAGATCCCAGAAACCCAACAGAAGAACAAAATACTACAAGCAGTAAGAGAAAAGAAACAAATCACAGGCAAAGGAAAGCCCATCAGAATCACAGCAGACTTTTCAACATAAACCCTTAGGGCAAGGAGAGCCTGGAATGAGATATTTCAAGCACTAAAAGAGAACAACCTCCAACCTAGACTGATGTATTCTGCAAAACTCTCTTTCAAAATGGAT